GATTCTGTTCACACCCCAAAATTTTAGGGCATGTACTTATAATAAATTACGTATTGGCATATGATTAATTATCATAATAAATATATGTCGGAGTATTTATAATTCAAAATTTGGGGTTATATTAATTTAGGGTGTGAACAGAGTCCGCCGTGATGAAGTGGAAAGTGACGCAGAACATACATCGATTTAAAAATGAAGAAATTTCTTTTTCGCTTTTATTCCCACTTAATCAAATTAACTTTTCTTTAACTTGACCTCATTTAAATTAATTAGCGATTATCACGTAGACAAGTTACCTTTACAATAAAAATAAAAGTTGTATACAAACTGATACGTATATACAGTATTATTAAGAGTATATTATGATTGTTAATTTTATTGTGACAGTGTTTTGTAAAATCTTTTTCTTCTAGCTAGAACTGGATTTTTGTTGGAGCCTCTATATTTAATTATAAACCCTATATTTCAAATATTTTCTGAAGATTCAATCGATATTATTTAGAAAACGTATGGTACGTAAGGCTTACAAGTTTTCTTAATAAATTTGCTTATGTTTAATTTCGCCGATAGGCTCTCTTGGTTCCACGAAAAAGTATTGTAGACCGACACTGTATAAAGAAATCTTTGTGAATTGTGTAACGACTTCGATCTCTTTCCATACTTGGAACGGTATAAAAAAATCGATAAGATCCAGATTGAATGCGTATTTTACACTAATAATTTTGCATAGAAATAGTACAATGCCTGACAAAACCACTACACGATTACCACTTCACATCAACATAAATACAGATGTATTTACTACCAAAACAAACTTTCGACGCAAATTACTGCAAGAATCACCTTTAATATCTCAAGTTTTAAATTTTTTCAAAACAAGCATTATTTTCAAACAACCTTTACTGCTTTTTTTGATACTTTTATTTTGTATATGTCTTTATGGTATAATTCGATTTCCAACAAAAGAAGAAATAATAATATCACAAGAAGTATCTGCAGTAGATGTGTTAAGCAATGTCTTTCCTACTGACGGTGATGGAGAAGCCACTGCAATTCTATTGAATTGGTCTAGGTTAGAAAATTTGAAGATTATAGTAAAACATCTATGTCAATATTCAATGTTTAAAGAGATCATGATATGGAACAATAATGGTGATATATATCTTTCTGACCAAGTAAGAAGTTCGCTTGATTAATATTATGTATGAATTAATTGAAGTTCTAACTATAAAGACCGATTTTACCAACCCTTTTTTTTTTTTTCATGTCGATCATTGCAGATGTTGATTTAACATTACCGTACCCAGCAAAAGTAAAACTTTTTAAAATTTTAATCTTTATTGATTTTGATCAGGTGGTTGTGAAGATATCTTCGCTCAAAGTTATAGAAAAATCAAAACATCTCTAACGCCTATTAAAATAGAAGCTGCGGCAAATTTTTTCAAAAATTTGAATGAAGATATTTCCACAATCATCTGACCAAAATCAATGAAACTTTTTTTATTTGAATTGTATATATTAATAGTAATAGAATTTAAATAAAAAGTTTTTATCTATTTTATCTTTGCCGCAGCTTCTATTTTGATAAATTTTTTTAAATTTGAATTCTATAGATTCATAGAATTCAAATAAAAAAAATTTCATCGATTTTGGTTAGGTGGCTATGAAGATATCATTGCTAAAAAAGTTGAAAAAATTTGCCACTTGCACTTGTTTTGGTAGGCGGTTTGATTTTTCTCTAACTTTGAACAAAGATATCTACAAAACCATTTGACCAACATCGATAAAAAAATTTTTATTTGAACCCTATATGTTTATAGAATTCAAATAAAAAAAATTTCGTCAGTTTTGGTCAAATGTTTGTGAAGAAATCTTTGCTCAAAGTTAGAGAAAAGTCAAAAACAAGTGGCGCAATTTTTTTAACTTTTAAGCAATGATATCTTCATAGCCACCTGACCAAAATCGATGAAATTTTTTTTGTTTGAATTCTATGAATCTATAGAATTCAAATTTAAAAAAATTTATCAAAATAGAAGCTGTGGCAAATTTTTTCAAAGCTTTGTGCAAAGATATCTCCACAACCACCTGACCAAAATCGATAAAAACTTTTTATTTAAATTCTATTAATATATATAATTCAAATAAAAAAAAGTTTCATTGATTTTGGTCAGATGATAGTGGAAATATCTTCATTCAAAAATTTGCCGCAGCTTCTATTTTAATAGGCGTTAGAGATGTTTTGATTTTCTCTAACTTTGAGCGAAGATATCTCCACAACCACCTGATCAAAATCAATAAAGATTAAAATTTTAAAAAATTTTACTTTTGCTGGGTACGGTAATGTTAAATCAACGTCTACAATGATCGACATGAAAAATGGGTTGGTAAAATCGGTCAACTATAAAGGCCGATTTAGAGGAGATCCATATTTAATTAAGGTTACTTATTGACAACGTTATTCTTTAACAATGCGAAGATGTTCACCGATACCAAATGCGCTAAAATCCGATATTACAACTCTCCAGGAAACATGCATTTCATTGCAAGATATATGGCTTGTGCGATGGCGACTACCCCTTACTGTTATTTTCAAGATGACGATTGGATTATTCGGCATATGCGTTCTATGTATGCTAACTTTCTACGTTTTCCAAATTTAATTCACACCGACACAAATGCGGACGTATATTCCCTAACCAATTGGAAATGGTGTTTTTTTGATGATTGTATGTGAATTAACTTTAAAATGTTATCTTTAAAAAAAAAAAATCATTTAAGCTTTTCATTTAATAATATTGATTTTCTAATTTATTCGATTCTAGTTGTCGATCTACATGCTTGCTTTTCTTGGGTTGGAACCGGTGCTTTTGCTTCTCGAGATAATGTAGTAAGATTCCTCAAAATGGCTTCGATCACTGAAATGGATCCAACTGAATTTGCATATGGTGATATGTATTTCACGACATTTATGAACCAAGTGCCATATCAGTTGGAGAATGAATTAATGGAACTACCGCAGGAAAATGCTTTTAGTGCTGGAGAAGGAAGAATCCGCAACAAAATTTATATGCACAAAGCTTTAGTACGTTTATACGATCACCTAAGTCGTAAAACAGGAGCCTTTGAAACTAAGGAAATTTCGCCTAGCATATATCAACGCGACGTACGCTCTCCTTGCGCGAATGACAGATGTTTATTTCTCACAAATAAGCATTCATTTCCGGACGTTCGAGCATTTCGTTATAGACCATATATTAATATTAGCGAGTCTGAACGAGTTCACGAGAGCTATTACGATACTAGACATTTCATTCGTCATCCTTATTCGCATGCTGTAGATGATAAAGATTGGACTGCATGGAAATCACAAGAGGGTAACTTATTAAATAAGCATTAATCATAGGTCTTGGGCAATTTTTTCTTACTTCCATTATTTAAACAAATAGTCATCCGTAAGGATGATTATATTAGCTTAGATTTGTTGTTCCCGATGCCATTCCCACTCATATTTACTCTCATAGTCGATCACCATAGAGATTATTTTTCTTCGTTAAATATGAAGATACAGATATCTTATAATGGAATAGATTGGGTATGACTTTGTGTTTACACTTCGTTTTCGTAAAGATTTAGTTTTACATGGTTAATTGTATTATTAATCCCATTTAGATACAATTGTCACCATTACCGAAAATAGAAGTTCGACAACTTCCACGAACTGGCCTTGACGGAAGAACACATTTATTATTATGTACTTTTCAAATTAGAGAGACTGGTATCCGTTTTGTAAAATTAACTAGTACCAGAGAATGGGAATTTCCATATGGTATTTATGATTTTTCCTTCCGTGCTCGTATTGATAGACTTGACAGTGGCATAGATGATTAGTGAATAGTAGATATGTAATTATAATTAGAAATTTTTAAAAGGACTATTAGTGTTAATTTTTCTAGAGTTTTGTTAGGTAGCTTCTTAATTCATAATTTAAGATTCACATCTCTAAAAGTATCAGTCTTAAAGCTATTATTGTTCATCACATTGATAGTTGAATAATTGTATGTTAATATATTTAAGATTAAGAACTATTTTTTTTTTTTCTTATAAGAAAAAAATTATAAACAAATTATTATTATTTTTTTTAATAATATATAATCATTGCAATATTGTTCTTGATTCTAAAAATGAAATTAAACATTGTCTGAAAACACAGAATTATATGATACAAAGTAGAATTTCAGTTCAATTGATTCAAAATTATTCCTCTTAAACCAAATTCCCTCAAAAAACATATCTACAAAAATAATAAAAGCAAAGCGAACACATCCACGGCTTCTTATATATCCAAATCAGAACATGTTTCATAATTTTATTATAGGATTCCATTAGAGTAATATTGAAAAGTATCATACAATCGAGTAAACACATTACAACAACTTGACATGATCAACTTTTCAACAAATTCATCAAACTGTGGTTCAGTAAGAGAAAGATGAAACCTATCATGAAGATGAGAGACTGCACCAGAAAGAAAACAGGGAAGGTTCGAATCTTTGAGAAAGTTTTAGTTAAAATCGGTTATTGTATTTCGAAACTGAAAAATAGAAAAAAAAAACTCGTGAATAAATTATACCTTTGGACATCATCTCAACTAATAATATAAAGTTATCGGCATGCTTGCGCAGTTCAAGAAAAGCTTGTTTTAACAGCGTTTTGAATTCCGCAAATTTCTCACTGGTTACACCACCAAGGATATCCAAATATTCTTGCGAGAGCTTGAAAGGTGCAAGTTCGAAACCGACGGAGCCGGGTGAATTCGAGAGCATGAATCCAAAATCGATATCTGAAGTAGGACGGTTTATATAAATAATATTCATCAAAAATTCACAAAAAATTACTGTTGCGGCTGAAGCTGGAAATTTCAAATATTTTTTAAATTTTTGGGATGAATTTTTTTTTTCTTTAATAGTAGGTCAAGAGTATTTTTGATAATAGAGTATAAAGGGATTTTGGTATGGTTTATAGTTTTAAATAAAGGTCCCAAATTTCCAGTTTCAGCCGCGACAATTATTTAATTAGATACATACGTATCAAGTGACCTTCAGTATCCAATAGGACATTGCCATTATGACTGCAAAATTGTGATATTTGTTCACTGTTAAAACTAATCATAACGGAGAATTTTTTAAAAAAATTGGGTAATTACCGATCCTTCACTTGTAAAATATAACAAACAAGCGAATAAGCTGCCAAACTTCTCATGAAATTATCTTGAGCACGTAAAAATTTTTCTGATGAAACATCGCCATATGTCTGAAACAACGATTGAAATAGCGAGCAACATAAGCAAAATGGAATAATATGCATAGGATCCTACTCATTATAAAAAACCCAAACCTTCACAAAATAGTCAAATAAAGTAAACATAAATCCTTTTTCATTTAACCTTTTTGCATACGCATCTTTTTTGATAGAATGGATCGAAATGGTGTTTTGAATGGTTTCTATCAATCCTGAATTGTCAGATGTTACAAGTACTCTGTAACTATTAAACAAGATATGATATCGATAAATGATGCACTACACACGTAAATGAATTCAAGTAACAATGGCAAGGAAGTAATGATGATAATAATAATTATAATAATAATTATAATAATTATTATAATAATAATTATAATATAATAATCGTAATAATAATAATAATAATAATAATAATAGAACGTTAGAATGATTACTCACTATCGAACCCACACGTTAATGCCAGCTTCTTGCCATATTCTCTGCATTTCTCGAATTAATTGACAAGCTAATTGTTCTTGACGCAAGTCGGCACCAGTTTTTACAATAACTGACAAAAGACGCCAGTTTGAAAGAGAACCAAATGGTGAAGATTTACGAATACGCTCCTTCTTCGTTTCCCACTCTTCACTAAATACGGCAGCTGTAATAAAAACGCTAAACTTTATACAAATTTTATACAGATGGTGTTTAGATTTAATAAGTACCATTATTACTTACCACTTGGGTCATCCTTATTAACGGCTATCAAAACACGCCTTTCGTCTTCCAACATCTCACCACCACCGCCTTCGCCACCGTTACCAACTACACTAGTAACACCTTGGGTTGTTATTTTCAACATTCTTTCCTCTTCTAAACCCATCATTTCGCTAATTATCTTTCTCCGTATTGCTTCAGTATCAGCCTTAGTTCTCTGTATTGTTTCACCAGTGGAAGATGTGCGCACTTGTTGCGCTGCATTTAGTTGCGCAAGCATGACTGCAGCTGTACGCATCCTTTCTGCAAACTCGTCTGCTGAATTGGACTGTCGACGATTAATAACTTGCTTAAAATATTGGCTATTTGATTCTGGTAAAGTCGGAGTGGTAGGCGTGTATGGAACAGATGTTATATCTTTTGACTGTGATAAAGTATCGATTGTCTGTGGAAGAGGTTCAATTACCAAAGGTTGTGCACCTTTTTCATCAACAGAAACCAGAGGTGGGAGCCTGTCAATTGAAGCAGTGCGTCTAGACGACCGTGTTATTGACAAACTACGTGGCGGTGCAGATATTTTAGTAATTAATGGGGGTTCTCCAACATCATCAGTTTTGGTGTTATCGCTCTTATTTGTGGAATTGAATTCATTCTCTATGACCTTTTCTCCAATATTATCATTTGAATTTGATGCGTCTTTTAACTTATCATGAGAACGTTCCGTGTTTGATTTATTTACACTACTGAGGCTATCCGTAGATTCTTCCAAATGTTCTATAGTTAATTTATTTATATTGTCCTCATTTTTTGGTGTATCTGTTGATATTGACGTATCAGCAGAGCCTTTTTTTCGTTTTTTTTTCATCATGAAGCAAGCGGTTTAATGATTTTTGAGCTTGCATTTTGGACATATCAAAATTCGTTTCCCCCTCAAGAACTTCTACCATTATTAAATAAGGTACCTTAAAGAGACAATTTAGAATAAATTAGAATTACTTAATTTTTTAAGTGCTGTATAGTAATAATAAATTTATTATACCCGTTCAGCTGAATTTAACACAACCGCCTCAGCTGGCGATATCCTAACAACACGATGATGACATGGATTCTCTGCAGTTGCCGGGCACCATAATGGTATGCAGATTTCTGCTGGTAAATTGTGACTTAATAATGTTAGTTCCGCCCTTAAAGTGCTTTGTCTTGCTTCTCGGGGAACAATAATTAATCTTGTTGAAATATCTTGGAGCGCTAATAGGAATTGCGGTTCAGATTGGAAATAATTTCCCTTGAGAAGGCGTCTTCGCCGTTCAGGACTGTGTTCCTCTAATTCATCTAATAAAGTAAGATCTAAAATTTCGGATGACCTGCGAAAAAAGGATATCTCATCGTCATCATCATCACCATCTTGTTCAACACTAGATAGTGGATAATCTGCAGATTGTGGGCGAGGTTTTGAATTCTTTGACAAATATTGTTTCACTGAAAAAACATTTCCTTTTTGCAAATCATCAAGTGATGGAGATGTAAACTTAGTATTGCCCAGTCCATTATGTCTATGTGGAAGAGATGAAGATGCTGGTCGTGATAAGCTTTTCTTATGACCTTTGATAAATTTTGGTTTGGATTGTCCATTAATATTAGAAGCATCTTGTTCATCCTTAATAACATGTACTTCATCTTTGTTATCTTCAGTCACAAGTACGTCTTTTGTTGATACTAAGTCATCACATTTGTTCATGTAATGCAGATCCTCATTTAATTTTTTATCTTCATTTGTTGACACTGTTGAACTGTCATTCAAAAGCTGAGTGGAATCTTCATTTGATACATTGTCATTTTGAAATTCGGATTGTTTGGGAGTTCGAACATTTCCAGAATAAGTACGTCTCCTAGCAATCCCACCTGACACGTTACTAAAAGTTCTTGTTCGTCTTCCTTGTGCTATAGCAATTTGACCAGCACTCCTTGTTAGCATTGGTGCAGCGATACCAGCAAGCATCGCACCCATCCCAACAAGAGCAGGGAAAGTATTCTCACGAACTTGTCGGGGGAACATTCCTCGCGTTCCAGTAGCAGTAACTTTATCATTTTCATCTCGTTCTTCCTTAAATACTATTTCTTGACATTTGTTCAGTACACGTTTACATACTGTGAAGGCAGGTGATGATGGATTGGCAGACAAATCTGAACGATATGCTTGAAGATACCATAATGTCTAAAAGAACAAAAACTAACATTATTAACTAATATATATGTACATGCATACATGTATACATGTTTCTTTTTGATTTATTTAAATAGTTTTTTTTTTTGATAAATATTTGTACACAATACCAGTATAGCCATATGTGTCGACTTTTCACAATATTCTAGTATAAAATATTCTAAAGCCACCGATTCAGTGGGTCGACTAATTAACAAATGACTTGAATTGGGAAAAATTAAAAAACAATATCAAATAAAAGGAATAAGTTTCGTTTGTTATAACATCCAATTGGTCGTTTTTCTAACCCAATTTCAGGCAGCTCGACAAAGTAAGCTTGGGATTCAGAAATAGCTTTGAAAAGCGAATAACTCATAACCTTTACCATAACTGCGGTAAAAAGAACTCGATTTCTGACATTGGGAATTTCTTGAGCTCATTACATAAATAATGTTGGATCCCGACTGAATCCGGATACCTAAATAGGTATGAGATTGCCATCCAGCTATTGAAATGTTCGCTCTGGAACAGGCGTAGTAATAGTTGCGACATAATGACTTTAAAGAAAGCAAGTTATTCGAATTATCGTTATGCGTTCGTAAACGAATTTTATCACATGCCGATACTTTTACCAGAATTTAAAGAACCTACCTTTCTATTGGCTCGTATCATCTATTTACAACCAATAATTCATGTGATATAAAAAAGTTCACTACTGTACGTACGTACGTACAAGGTTATAACTCGTCAACAGTTAGGTGTCTATCTGGGCTTGGTTATAAATCTATCATTTTGACTGGCTCATAATAAAGTTGTCCTAATACAAATTGAGCAATATGACGAAAATTTCAGCAGCATGGCTTTTACATATTTTTGAGGTATATTTTTTTCGATATGTAAAATAAAGAGCGGCCTTTAAAATGATTGGTCGATAATAAAAATGTATCACCAAACACACTGTATGTATTATTTGAACTGTTAATAAAAAATAAAAAAATACTACGTACGTACGTACGTAAGTTATATGCTGTATATTTTAAAGTATATATTTGCCAATATTATTTATTCTGCATGTAATTTTTTTATTGCTTATAATATATATATAATATAATTATATTTTTATTAATAAAAATTTTAAATCAAATTTTTAAAAAAAGATTATATATAACTAATTTTTACCCATGGTGATATCACCCGGTATTATAAAAATTAAATTTACATGTATATAGTTAAGATTAGAGTTAAAATAGAAGAGGTTATATATGTAAAATTGATACTAGAGGTTGGAACCG